TGAAATCACCACGGACGTACGTCGGGCGAAAACTAAACATTTCAAGAACCAACTACTTGAAATAAAAACCGCTGCGGAGTATTGGAATCTTCTTCGCAATGCCACTGCACCAAAACTCAGAAAGGCTATTGGACCCTTGAAGAGGGAAGACGGTTCTCTGGCAGTCGATAGTAAAGAAAAATCAAATCTGATGAATTCTTTCTTTTCTAATATAGGAATTAATCTAACAAGGAACTTTTCATTCACAAAAAGTCAACGCTGCCACAACATTAAAGTCAGTTCCTGTTATCAAAGACGTTATTTTATCAAAATCCGAAATTGAAAAGTATTTATCAGATCTTAAATGGAATAAAGCTACCGGTCCCGACCAGATTTCTTCTAGAACTCTAAAAAACTGCCGGGAATGCGTTGGTCCATCCATTATACCATATTTATTGTGAAAGTCTAAGATCTGGCTACGTGTTTGAACAATGGAAAGTGGCTAGGCTGAGCCCTATCCACAAAAAGGACGATGAGAGCGACATGAGCAACTATCGGCCAATTTCTATTCTCAGTATACCCAGCAAGATCCTTGAATCAACGGTCTCTCAGAGAATCGTCAACCATACATTCCATGAGCACAGTTTAGTCACTGAAAACCAATGGGCTTATAGGAAAGGCTTTTCTACTGAATTAATGCTTATAAAACTGACAGAACAATGGAGACAAGCGGTTGATAACAGTAAAGTTGTCGGCGTGGTTTTTGTCGATTTTCAAAAGGCCTTTGACTGTGTATCGCATAAAATATTGCTGCATAAACTCGAGATTGACTTTGGGATCAAGGGCAACCTGGCTGCTTGGCTTCACAGCTACTTAAAGGGGAGGCGACAGTTCACAGTCATTGACGGCGCAGCCTCTGATTTTGCTCGCATTAATACAGGCGTTCCTCAGGGATCAGTCCTCGGTCCAACCTTGTTCGCACCTTACACAAATGATCTACCTGATAATATAACAAATGCAACTGTTTTTATGTACGCAGACGATACCACCCTGTTCTGTATCGGAGACACCGTAGACATTGTTATTGCCGAACTGAATGCTGCTCTCAAGGAACTAGAGCTATGGTGCTTAAGAAATCAACTATTGCCTCACCCCAAGAAATGCGAAGGCATGTTAATTCATCGAGGAAACTTCACTAGTCCACTACAGTCATTAATACTGATGAATCATTGTATAAGATGGGTTAAACACACCAGGCTGCTTGGAGTCTATATTGATAATAGACTTAACTGGGACTACCATGTCAAAGCACTAAAGATCAGCTTTGCAAATAAGCTTAACATGCTGAAGCGCAGCTTGTTCTTACCAAGACCCATGCTACTGGACTTATACTTTAAAGTAATCTACCCATCAATTATATATGGTATCACCGTCTGGGGCGGCCTTACTAATAAGGAGGGCCTAATTGCATTAGAGTCTTTACACTGTAGAGCGGCAAAATTAATTTTTAACTGGCCATGGGATATGCCTAAGTCTGACGTACTAAGCAAAGCTCGATGGTCTTCTATTGAAACCACATATAAAGTTAATTTAGCTAAACTGATGTTCAAAATAGATAAGAAGACTTTACCTATATCCATCTTAGATACCACCGAAGAAGTTGACGTGAATACTAAGAAAAATCTAAGAAGTAATGCCAACATAAAAGTACCAAAATTCAATACATATTACATGAAAAACAGTTTTTCCAGAAGAGGACCTATCGTTTTTAACACACTTCTCCAAGAATCAAATTTAAGAAATATAACCATTAAGCAGCTCTCCTCGTTAGCCTACAAATCAAAGGCACTTTTAAATTTGAACTTTAATTCCATTTCTCCACAGACAGTGAATTTTAAGGACCCCAATTTTAAATATTTTTAGATCTTCTAATTTTGATAGGCTACTTTAATTATTGTATTTTACTACATTTCATTTTATTCCATTTTACGCACGACCCCACAAGCGTGTAGTCGCTTTAACAATTATCGTGTTTAAATAAAGTCTTTGTATTGTATTGTATTGACAGCAGTGAAATTGCGTCAGTGGTGAGCTAGGATATAGACTGTGTAAGACTTAATTAAGTTTATCAATGATAAGTGTTTAACTGCTTTAGGAGTCACTCCTTGTTAAGAACATTACTCGCTGTTTAATAAAGTAGTTGAGTTTGTGGGATTGTAGTGTTTTTCTGTTGGTTAGATTATACCGTAACACTCCGGGTTAAAATCGGGTAGTATTTCTTCGTAAAGAACATGCTTTGATTCGTGTTTGCCCTGACTGTTTGCCATCTTAAAGCTGGTACCTCTAAAAAGCCTGGGAAAATACGGCAGTGCCAGGTCCCATGGTATGAAATTTTTCCTGAGACGAAAGCTTCGGAACTTGAGGTTTCTTATAGTAAAACAGGAAGGTTGCAGGTAAAGATGTTTGATCAAGGCAAGAAGACATATCCCTTGTATAGTAAAAAAAAAAAGGGTACAAATAATAAAGGTTGAATCCATCACTCCTAAAACAAATAGAAACCTCACTTGGCCCAAAGCGAGAGGTTTTGATTGCTCAGAAGGATAACAAAATTGAAGAGCTACAGAATTCTATTCATGAAGATGAGAATATTGCTGATGATGAGAATGAACAACCAGCTATAGGAGAAAGAGCATGAGAAAGAATAATAGAAAATCACGAGCAGATTGATGCTCTTCAGAATGAGAGAGAACTTGAAGAAGGCACTTCACTGGGAGAGAGAGTGAGAAACATTCTCAAGAAGTATGGCTTCACAGTTTCAGCTGTTGGAATGACTGTGAGCGCATTGACAAGAGATCTGACGTCTGTTGCTAAAGGAGTTGGAAATGGTTTCAAGACGCTTGGAAGTAAGATTGTGGGAATTTTCCCAGGTCTCATCGTTTCAATAGTCAACTTCATTTTCAAGACCGCTGGATCAGTGATCAGCTTCCTTGGTGAGAATGCATGGCTTTTGATTAAAGGAGTCATTATATTCATGGTTTAGTGATCTTACAAGAACAAGCTATGAATCAAGAACGCTGATACCAGACCTACAGAAATCAATCTAACCTTTACCATGTCATGATTTGTCTCATCTAACCATAACCAGGTTCCTAAAATTGCGCCCTCCTCACTTTTTTTTTTTAGGCTTTGTAACTCATAGGGGGTTTTGTCTAATATGCATCATACTTGAGCCAGAGGTTTAGGGAGCATATTTCTGGGTTGTGCCCTAATTCTGTAGGATGTCTATGGCAGTCCCACGGTAAAAGTCTGGTTTGGTTTGTATTTCATTGTACAAACAAATTGCAGAGCCAGCCAATAGGATTGCGTAAAATCTTCATCGATTATTTCTTCTTCTAAGTTGACCGATGGAATTGTAGAAAATCTCTATCGATTTTTAATCGATTTGCTTCCTCTGGAGAACGTTTCAGAACGTTTAATTCCTCGTGGTGTCAATACTGAATTACGAAGCGTTTCATCTGAGGGATATCATTTTAGTAAAGGTGAGTGTTTTGAATCAAGCTCTTACCACTTCTCACACCCTTCAGGTTAATCGGTATAATGAAAGGTGTTCACTATTATTTTGAAGTTTTATATTGATGTTTTCGAGAGTACTTAAGGCAATCCCGTATCGCGATTACGGTCCACCGTGGTCAACAACCGAGACATGAAGCGACAACATTTCTTTCTCCATCAAACAGTACTGATCTCCATTTATAGAATGAAAAGCCCTTTACTAAGGGAATGTTTGATCCTCTGATGAGGATAACTGAGCCCTTAAAAAGAGGGAAAAGATAAGCCTCTTTTGAGGATCATTAAGCTTCTTCGGAGGATTATTGAGCTTGTCATTGACAGGATACGTTTGATGGTTTGGTAGGCCGTTTATGTTATAAATGAAGATTTTTGTGGTGATATATCAAACGAAGAAGGAACACATAGTTTTAAGCCAGTTGGTGTTCGTTCAATTGTATTCGATTCCAAAAATGTGGTAATCGATCTGGTTATTGATACATGTAGCCGGGAAGCCGCCATTTTATAGAAAGCACGTGCTTGTCAAATGACTTCACCTTTTATTGACTGAGAGACTGTAAAAGGTGTGTTGAATCAAAGTGTAGATGGAAGTAAGCTTATCATGAAAAAATGTGGTGCATGTTCTTGTGATTCCTATGATGCTAAGTTTAATGAAACTTCAAAGGGTATCCTCCGATGTACTGTAAGAAAACTTACGAAACGATTAAGAGACAAACATACCAAAAGGGACAGGGAATCCTCCATGGTACCTGTAAAGATACTCATCCGAAAAATGAGAAAGAGGCTTAATAGACAAAAATTAAAGAAAACTAACTCGTGTTTCATCCAAGATGCATCATTTATTACAGAATTATTCACTGTGTTATTAGAATTATGTTCACCGAAAAGATTGTTTTTTCACTCAATATTTGAGGTTTCGATCCCCCTCTATTCATGCATGCAATAATGCTAGCAATGATTTTGATCAGGATCAGTATAGCGTGTCAAAAAGAAAGCTTTTGATATATGGTCATGTGGAATTGAATCCTAGTCCTTTTACTTTTTAGAAAACAAATGTATGTAGAGCTTCTCCGTTAAGCATTTTGGAGGCAAGACTACATCAGTTTGGATTGAAACATCTGGATGTTGGTGGTGCTGGAGAATATTTTTTTAGAGCAGTGTCACATCAGTTATATGGGAATCCAAAACAGTCACGGTATTATTCGTGCTGCTGAGATACAGTTCTTGAGAGACAACCCAGAAAGATTTATTGATAGTAATCTTGAACGATCATGGATTTAACATTTAAACAATACGTCAAGTCAAGGCACTTGGGCTGATGGTATCATCATACAAGCAATGGCACATGTGTTTAATTTGAAAATTCACATATTGAATCGCACCTAGATTTTGCTGAGATTACTGTAGTTGAAGGAGTGACTGCTCCCTGTTCAGATGAACGTGTTGTTTTTATT